ATTTTTGGTAGAGATTGGGTCTTGCTATGTTCCCCAGACTTGTCTTGAACTCCTGGCCTCAAGCAATCCTCCCATCTCAGCTTCTAAAGGCACTGGAATTACACAGGTTTGAGACCAGTCTGGGCAACTTGGTGAGACCTCGTCTCTACAGTAAATCAAAATATTAGCCGAGCGTGGTGGTGTGCACCTGTAGTTCCAGCTACTTAGAAGACTGAGGCAGAAGGATCGCCTGAGCCCAACGTCAAGGCTGTGGTGGCCATGAGCATGCCACTGCACTCCAGCCTGGGTGACAGAGTGAGATTCTGACTCAAAAAAAAAAACTGCCTTAATTTATCAAATTAACACTGCTAGTAAAAATACAAGGCAGCCGGGCTCGGTGGCTCAGCCTGTAATCCTGCGCCTTTGAGAGGCTGAGGTGAGTGGATTGCCTGACCCCGTGGGTTCGAGATCCACCTGGGCAGGTGAGATCTCATCTCTACAATAAATAACAAAAAATTAGCCGGGTGTGGTAGCATGCGCCTGTAGTTCCAGCTACTTGGAAGGCTGAGGCGGAAGGATTTCCGGAGCCCAGCAGGTTGAGGTTGTGGTGGCCAGGAGTGGCCACTGCACTCCAGTCTGGGCGACAGTGAGACTCCAACTCAAAAAAAAAAAAAAAAAAATACAAGGCAACAGAATGTATGTGTCAAGATCACATGTGTTCAAACCTTTACCCTTATGGACAAATTATTTAATTTCGCTGTACTTTAATTTCATCTGTAAAATGGGGGTAAAATTAGATAGATAAAAAATTTATCTGATATGGTTACTTAGGTACTATTACAAAGTATCTGTCACATTAGAAACAGTCAAAAAATTAATTCCTTTCCCCTTTCTTTCTATAACCCAATTACTTAACATACAAACACTATTTATCTTATTTACCACGATAGCTCTTGCCTAAATGCCTCCACTATTTATGTATTTTGGGCCTGTGTATTTCTAAATAAATTGATACTTATTTTCTTTTTTTTTTCTTTTTCTGAGTTGGAGCCTCACTCTGTTGCCCAGACTGGAGTGTAGTGGCCGCTCCCAGCCACTGCAGCCTCGAACTGCTGGGCTCCAGTGATCTTCCGCCTCAGCCTTCCAAGTAGCTGGAACTACAGGCGCACACTACCACGCCTGGCTAATTTTTTTATTTATCGTAGAGATGAGGTCTCGCCAAGTTGCCCAGGCGGGTCTTGAACCCACGGGCTCAGGCAATCCATTCACCTCAGCCTCCCAAAGTGCGGGATTTCAGGATGAGCCACTGAGCCCGGCTGATACTTATTTTCATTGACAATCAAAATTGGCAAAGGTTCTCCACATTCACCATCACCAAACATACACAAAAATTTTCTTTTTTGTTTACGAACAAAACCCAAGTAATCCTCACTTACACTGGAAACAGGTTTCTATGAATATAGGGAAAACTAATTTATCAAATTATTTAAACAGACTGGGCGTCACGCCTGTAATCCCAGCACTTTGGAAGGCTAAGGTGGTAAGATCACATCCATATCCCATCCCCATCCCTCTTCCCTGTGAATACATAGCTGGAGTCTGAGATCAGCCTGAGCAACATAGCGAGACCTTGCCTCTACAAAATAATCAAAAAATTAGCAGGGTGTGGTGGTGTGTACTTGTAGTCCCAGCTACTTGAGAGGCTAAGGCAGAAGCATCACCTGAGCCCAGAAGTCAAGGCTGCTTACGGCACTTCAGCTTGGGTAAGAGACTCCTGACTCAAAAAAAAAAAACCTATTTAAATGACTTCATGACTATTTTTTTTTAATTGAAGAATCATTCCTAATTTGCCTTAAAGGTGCAAGGCAGCAGCTATAAAGTAAAAGAGGGCCAGGCGTGGTAGTTCATGCCTATAAATCCCAGAACTATGGGAGGCAGAGGGGAGAGGACTGTCTGAACCCAGGGATTCGAGACCAGCCTGGACAACTTGGCAAAATCTTGTCTCTACAAGAAATAAAAAAATTAGCTGGGCGTGGTGGCTGTAATCCCAGCACTCTGAAAGTTCAAGGTGGCAGGATCACCCTTCTACCATGAACACTTGGCTGGAGTTTGAGATCAGCCTGGGCAACATAGTGAGACCTTGCCTCTACAAAATAATCAAAAAATTAGTGGGGTGTGGTGGTATGTACCTGTAGTCCCAGCTACTTGGGAGGCTGGGGAGAAGGATCGCCTGAGCCCAGAAGTCAAGGCTGCAGTGAGCCATGATTATGCCACTGCACTTCAGCTTGGGTGACAGAGACCCCTGACTCAAAAAATAAAAATAAAAAAATTATTATTTAAATAACTCCATGGTTTTTTTTTTTAATTGAAGAACTATTCTTAATTTGCCTTAAAGGTGCAAGGCAGCAGCTATAAAGTAAATGAGGGCCAGGTGCAGTGGCTCACGCCTGTAAATCCCAGCACTATGGGAGGCAGAGAGGAGAGGACTATCTGAGCCCAGGGATTCAAGACCAGCCAGGACAACTTGGTAAAACCTTGTCTCTACAAGAAATAAAGAAATTGGCTGGGCGTGATGGCATGCATCTATAGTTCCAGCTACTTGGAAGGCTAAAGTGGAAGGATCACCTGAGCCCAGCAGGTCGAGGCTGCTGTAGCCATGACTGTGTCACTGCACTACAGCCTGGGCAAGAGTGAGAGTCTGATTAATTAAATAAATAAATAAATGTAAATGAGGACTACAATTTACAATCAGTTTCCAGGCTTCAGCATTCAAACATTCCTTTTTTATTTAAATATTAACTTGACTCCATCTATTCTTCCTTTTCCTGTTTTTCCTTTGGCTGCCTTTCTTTCCCATTCATCTCTGTCCCTTTCTTTCCACTGCCTCATTCATTTGTGCAACTAGTAAACATTTATTAAGCATCTAAAACTTGCTAGCACTGCTCTAGGTATTGAGGATACCATACTCAGCAAAAGAATCCAGGCCTCACGGAATGCACAATCTAGTGAGGGGAGACAGACAGTAACTGATATTAATCAAATCAACAACAAACAAATGTAAAATTACATCTATGATTATTAATAAGAGGCAAGATTACAGAGCATTTACTATGTATCAGGCAGCAGACAAAGCGCTTTAAATGTATTAACTCACTCAATCCTCCCTCTAACTTTATGCAATAGGTATCATTACAACTCATTTTACAGAAGAGGAAAGCAGAGCTTAGTATTTTGTCCAAAGTCACACATCTAATAAGTGAATGAACAGGAATGAGAGTCTCAATTTAGCCTAGTAAGAGGAACTAACAAATAGGGAGTGGGAGTGAAGAACCCTTCAGGCAGTAGCAGAGAGAAAAGAATGTTCAAAGGTCCTATGGAAGGTAAGAGTGTGGAATATACCAGCTATTTGTTTGTTTGTTTTTGAGTTGGACTCTCACTCTGTCACCGGGGCATGCTCACGGCTACTACAGCCTCAACTGCTGGGCTCACAGCTACCGAAGCCTCAACCTGCTGGGCTCAGATGATCCTTCCACCTCAGCCTTCCAAGCAGTTGAAACTACAGGCACATACCACAACCATCTGGCTAATTTTTCTATTTCTTGTAGAGATGAGTTCTCATCAAGTTACCCAGGCTGATTTCAAACCCCTGGGCTCAGGCAATCGTCTTGCCTCTGCCTCCCAAAGTGCTGGACCCAGCAATTAAAAAAAAAAAAAAGACTGGACAGGAGGAGAGAACAAGTGGGAATATACTATGATGGGAATGGTAGGAGGAGTGAATGCTGAAGGGAGGTGAGTAGTCCAGACAAGAAATGATGGTGCCTGCAGAAGATTGAAACAGGACCCCTATCTATCCCCATGCATAAGGTTAACTCCAAATGGATCAGAGACCTAAATGTAAAACCTCAAACCATAAGAACCTTAGAAAAGGAAGGAAATACTCTCATGGAAATCGGAACTGGCATCCAATTCCTGAACAAAACCCAAAACCCACAGGTCATAACAGAGAAGATAGACAAGTGGGACCTTATTAAACTGACAAGCTTCTGCAAAGCCAAAGAAACCATCAAGAGAGCAGGGAGAAACAGGGTGCCTGAATGAAACGTAATTGTACACCCAACCCTTAACTGTACCCCACAAAATCATAATAAAAAAGACAGGCCTGCAAGTAAGGCGGGGAAAGACCAACCAAGCTGAGCCACTGAAACCAAGAGAAATGGGTGTTACAAGAAGGAAGCGAAGCCCAACCGGCTCCAACGCTGCTGAGAACCAGGGTGAACTGAAAATGGAAAAGTCTCTGTTGGATTTAGCGACATGGAGGCCACTGGTAACTTCAGCCAGATTTCTTTCTATAGAGGTCCAGGGGATGATTGACCAGAGTAAGTTAAAGAGTGAATGGGAGGTGAGGAAAGGAAATCGCTGAACACAGGTAACTCTTGAGAAGTTTGGCTGCGGGTGGGGGAAGGGAAAGAGACAGCGAGCGGCCGCAGGTGGGAGAAGGAGGGACGCAAACCTTTGTTTTATTTTCTTAGGCAAGGAAAACGTGAGCGTGGAAGACACCGGGAAGAATCCTTTAAAGAGGTGATGATGCTGGAGAGACCCGCGGCGGTTCTCCCGCCGGCCCCCCACCCCCGCAAACTCCACCTCCCACTTTCTCGCCCCTTCGCCCCCGGCTCCCCTCCCCCTTCTCCAATCCGCGCAGCTGCAGGCCCACAGCCACCCCAGCCCGCCGGCCGGGCTCCCAAGCGTCCCCTCACCGCAATGGCCCCCTCGCTCAACTGGCCGACCATGGCTCCGCTGCAACTAACTCCCGCGCTCCGGTTTCTCTGCCGCCCGAGCTTCGCTACCGGGGTCCGGCGCGCTGCACGGCTATTGGCCCGAGGCGTTGCGTGCACCACCCCCGCCCCCGACGTGCGCGCGGCATAGGGGCGGGCCTAGGGGCTGAGCTGCCGCCGCATTGGCCGAGGCGCGGCGGGCGGCCCACGTGACCCGCCCGAGGCCGGGTCCGAGGCCTAGTCGCCGGATGGTGGGGCCTCGGGGCGGAGCGCCGAGTGAAGGGGCGCGCCAAGAAATTCGCGGCTGCGGCTCAGGGCGCCAGCGGCCCAGTTCCGGGAACTTGCTGAGCGTGCTCTCGGAAGCCTACCCGGCTCGGTCCTTGACTGGCAGACAGATGGTAGCCTAGAGGAGAGTTAGAGCTGTTCCCTGATAACTCTGCTGCTAAACGTAGTCGAAGCAGTGACTTGGTTCCTTCAGCAACCCAGTGTTGACCTCCTGCCCGTGCCAAACCCCGAGTTTGCACCGTGGGGTTCTCTGAAGGTAAATAAGACCTGGCCCCCACCCTCAGGGGAGAGCACAGTCTGTCGGGGGAGTTTCTGCCGTGAGTAACCCTAACCCAAGGAAGATGCGATACAGGCCCCGAGTCTGCTGGAATTACAGAAGGAAAGTCGGGAAAGGCTTCCCGGAGGAGGTGCCATTGGAACTGATTGGAAGGATATGGGAGAGTTTGCCAGGCGGACTCCAAGTGAGCGTAGGCATGTTCCTGAAAGCATGAATAGCCTCTACCAAAACCTTGGAGAGATGAGATAACCTGGCAAGCTGAGGCTAGCAATGAGTAGCTCAGTATGATAAGGTACAGAGTAAGAAATGGGACTTAAGACTTAGAAAGTAAGACAAGAATCAAATAATGACGGGTTGTACTGGGACTTCGCTATATGCTGGGAGGAGCATTGATGAAGTTAAGGCAGAAGATGGACATCTGTCTCATGAGGAGGATTGATTGAAAGGAAGTGGGACCGAGAATATGAAGACTAGTTATGATGCTGGAAAGAATGCCAGACAAGAGAGATGGCAAGGGCTTGAACTGAAGGAATGACCTGGGAATTGTTAAGAGATAGAAATGGGGGGGGGGGGGGAA